CACCAGTCAACTTCACAACTTCTAAGACGATAAAGCCTGAGGCTAAACAGGAACACGACGTTTCAGACCGTGACAAGCCCTTGGGCGGGCAGGTTAACTGGCCGGCTGGAGATTATATGCTGCCCATCGGAGGCCGTGGAGGTCAGGGCTATTCGCTATTTTCAGAATCCTCGGCCTACTTGGACCAGCGAGTAGGACTCAGCGCCGCTGCGGCCGAGGCCCTGGAAGAACTGAAAAATAACTTTGCACGAATGCCATACTATAACGGATGGGATGCCTCGTTAGATAATTCAATAGATCTTGAGCCATCTGCCGGTACGGTATCCAATGCCTCAATAGAATTAGGGCCTGAAGAAGAGTTTGCTTACTACAGGTGCCCACCCGGATTCGATCGTGTCAAATTCACCTTCATGCGCCGTCTGTTAGGAGATGAAGTTGACTCCGAAGGCGGTTGGATTACTCTCGACTTCGACTCTTCGAAGCGCCAGTTTGAACAGCCGAGAACTCAACAGTTCTGCTGGCGCAGTCGATTGCGCCTTGAAGACATGAGAGGATACGAGAGCAATGTGACCAAAGCTCACGTCCCATCTGCTTCTGCTGCCGACCAATCCACGCCTAAATTCAACGATACATTTGCTTCCAATGTTGCCACAAATATCACCAATACGACGGTTGCAACGTCGCTGCCGAGCTCAACAGTGACTGGTGCTGATTCGCTGACTCGAGGATCGACGTATCTGTCAAGGGTTGATGATATGTTGCGTCTACTAAATCTGGAACGCTTTGAGCGGAAACATAAGAAGCTGCCCAAGACGACAAGAGGTCAGCAGCATGAGCATAGCAACAGCCATGCATCTGCAGAACATGAGGAAAAGATACCCGTAGAATCAGAAAATAGCAAGAAATCGAAGGAAATGGAACACACAGAAGAGATGGAGGACCCAGACGAAGAGAGAAGTGGGCAACACGACTGGCCCCGAGGTGACTACTGCGTATTCACGCTAAGGAGCTATTGCCCGCCTGAGATG